ATCAATATGCGACGGCTGACCAATGCATTTTAGACCATGGAGGGGGACTTGAACTGAGTTAAGAGGGTGAGAGAGAGGGTTTACAAAGAGTGAGAGGGAGGAGGATTTTATTGAGCTTAGATGGTGAGATAGAGAGAGGAGAGATCTGGATGGGGAGAGGGAAAGGGGGATTTTTCGATTGAGAAAGAGAAGAGATCTGTGAATGGGGTTTAGAGAGAGGGAGAGAGAGAGGAGTTTTTGTTTGAGATACAGAGGTAGTAGGGTGGGAATTTCGAGAGGGTTTACATAGAAAATAGAGGCTTTTTGAATTTTGAAGTGGGGATACAGAGGGAAGGGAATGAATGTGAGAGGGGCTCAGTTAGAATAATATACTGGGAAGTAAGATGTGTCATATTTGGAGTTGCTGTGGAAATCTGTCTGTAAAATGGAGGGACCCATCACCATTGTTTTAAATATCCCCGACATGGCCCGATATATCCTCCGATATATCATTTTACAGGGTTTGCCGCAACCGATATGGTCTTCAAATATCCTTTACTGTTTTTTGGCTATTTTGAGTGATAAATCTCCGATATGACCGATATATTAGCCGATATGTGGACCAATATATCTTTTCATATAGCTTGTAAAATAATATACCGTGTTTGGAATTTTTGGGCTAGATATCAAGATTTTCCCATTATATCAAATGATATTTTGCCCTAAAAAAGCAGATCGAATATTGTAACGTTGCTTTGCACTTTTGTTTGTTTTAGAAGGTTGATTAGTGATCCTAAACATATATTATTCATATTTTGTATACTTAAATTTTATTACATATGTTGAGATTACATTTTAATGCATTATACTATGTATACAAACATTCATTATGGCATTCTGATATTTACCACATATCCCCGATATTTCCCCGATATCCGCAATTCGATATGAATTTTGGCCATCCGATATTTTCCCGATATCCGATATTTAAAACCTTGCCCATCACGAATTACTGTAAAATAAACAGTGATTCTTTGGATCCTCTTTAAGTATAGAGGAGTAGATATACAATCATTAATTTATAGCTCGTTTATAATTACATTCCTTTTATTAGAGTTATATTCATAATTTCACAATCATATAATGATGTCATCGAAACAAGACATGAAGGCTTAACAAACAATTCAAAAGTAATTACTTAACTACTTCAAGTTCTAAGAAAGGATATGCTCTCGAGCTTCTAGAACTTATATTGAAGTAACGGAAGTTATATTGAAATAACGCATGCTATATTGAAATGACGTAAGTATATAGAATTATTGAAATAACGCATATTATATTGTAATAACGTAGAGTTATGATGTGTTTGAGTGATTTCATAAGGTTTATGTAACATTTAAGGCCTATTAGGTTATATAATGCATCATGACAAATTACATAACGGGTATATTTTAAACAATGACTCAAACCATATATTTTGACCTAATGTTGTCGATTTTCTTTGACTTCGGTTCAACTGCATATATGGTTATATCTTGTGCCATCTAAACAATATAGAATATAAAGGGGCTAGACTTAATCTTATTGATATTTTGATTCATAATTAGCAGCATTTCTAGGATTATTTATGCATATGGCATTTGTGTGCATGTGTACTGGAAGACATACTAAACTTATGACTAAAAGAAACATTTCATCTTTTCCAAAAAGAAAAAAATGAAATTAATGTTTATTTTAAAACAATATCTAAATATTATAATTAAAGATTGAACTCGAAATTTTGAAGTCATAATGTAAATGTTAAAATCTGTGAATTGAGTCTACTTAACAAAAGTAACTGGAACGAAACATGGCAAAATAGTTCATGGAATCAAATAGTTACTAGTAATCTAATTTTCTTCGTTCTTTTCTCTGGTTCCTAGGTTTGGCTATTCACATTCAATATGCATTATGAATATGTATGCTCAAGTTGGAATAGGGTTCTAGAGAATAGAGTGAACTAGGGGAAAATTTTTTCCCTATATTGCTACCTTTATAGGTTAAGGCTTGGGTTGGTTTTTCATGTAGGATTGTTACCTCTGGTTGCAAAGAGCAATAAAAAAGAGTAGCAAAAAGTAGCTACAAAGAGGAGGAAGTGAAACATCAGCCTTTGTAGCTCATGTACTTCTATTGTGAAGGCATACCTGTTACAAGTGCAACTTCACCCGTGTCAAATAACAGTGTGCTTATTAGGTACATTTCGGCAGTTCTCAACAATGTTTTCAATTTTGTAATATATGTTAGTATCGAACAAACTTTTTTCTTACTAGAAGGCTAGATAGGTTAATGGTTTTGGAGTTTTCTGTTAAAGAAGTGAAGTAGAAAAACTAATATGCACAAGAGACTAAGAACTAAACCGGTGGAACAAAGAATGAGAGAACTTAATGATTTTTGAAGATAAGATGATGAAAGAAGATATATATAAAATATAGATAAGGAGACTAATATTATGTGGAATAACATGGCTTCTACGAGGAAATGAAAGAGAGGTTAACTTTTAATGATAAGTAAATAGGTCAGCAATATAGAGAATTTAATCATATAGTGAATGATAAAAACTATAGATGTCGGAAAATTAGGATTAATGTGGTAAAAAATGCTCTAAAGAAAATGAAAAATGGAAGAGCTGTAGGACGGAAAATATCCCTATTAAAGTTTAAAAATATCTTGATGTATAGGTTTAGGATGGTTGTCTGAATTATTTAATCAGATTAGCGAGACAGTGAATGCTAAACGAATAGAAGATTAATACTTTGATACCGATATACAAAAATAAAGGAGATATACAAAGTTTTTCAAACTATCATGATATTATACTCATGAGTCATATTATGAAACTTTGGGAGAGGGTAATTGTGCAATGACTAAGAAAGGAGACAAGCGAGCAAAGACCAATTTGATTTTTTTATCCGGGAGGTTAAGTATGTAATCTATACATATTTTGAGACTGCTAATGGAGAGATATAGAGAGAAGAGAATGGATCTACATATGATGTTCATTGACCTAGAAAAAACTTATGATAGAGTGCCTAGAGAAGTAACGTGGTGGGTTTTAGAAAAAAATATATCTATTATATATATTAATGTGATTAAAGATGTGTATGGTAGAATAATAATTAAAGTAAGAACTAATGGAGGAGAGATAAGTCTTATTACTATATGTATTGTTAAATATCCTTGACATGGCCCAATATATCGGTTGATATATTATTTTATAGGGATATAGTCTATTTTTTAACATTTTTAGCACTTTTGACAATATATCTCTCACATGGCCAATATATCAACCTATATATCGGTCTCTATGTCTTTTTATATGGCTTGTTGTAAAATAGGATACTGCTTTTGGTAATGTTTGGGGGACATAATATGACTTTCCCAATAAATTAAATATTGCAATGTTAATATGGACTTTTGTTTATTTTAAAAGGTTGATTAGTAATCCTAAATATATGTTATTTACATTTGTGTATGCTTAGATTTCATTAAGTATGTTTAGATTATATTTTATGATATTATATTGTATATGCACATCATCTGATATAGCACTTCGATATTTACCATATATCCTCGAAATTTTCTCGATATTTGCAATCTGATATGAATTTTGGTCGTTTGACATCTCCCTGATATTAGATATTTTGGTCGTTTGACATCTCCCTGATATTAGATATTTAAAATCTTGACCATAGGTCTACATCAAGGGTCAATCTTAAGTCATTATATTTTTTCTTTAGTCATGGACTAACTTACTAAATATATTTTGCTGATGACATAATATTAGTTGACGAGACTAAAAAATATATTATTTTTAACGTAGAAAGGTGGAGACAAGCTCTTGAAACTAAATGTTTTAGAATTAGTAGAATAAAAATAAAATACATGTAATACATTTCTAGTAAAACTAAAAATAGAAAATAGCCTATAGTATATATTGATGGTCAAGAAATATCTAAAAATTATTACTTTCACTATTTAGGATCAATCATTTGGCATGATTGTGAGATTGCGGATGATGTTGCCAATCGCAACAAATCAGGATGGTTAAAATGGAGGAGTGCTTTGGGAGTCTTGTGTGATCGTAGGATAGTTATAAGACCAACAATGCTTTATGGATAAAAATATCATGCAATTAAAAAAGATGCGCAAAAAATGAGTACAGTAGAAATGAAAATGTTGAGATGGTCTTGTGGGTATACATTAAAAGATAGGATAAGAAAGAAGCGCATCCATAATAAATTATATGTTGCTTCTATTGACGACATTATGAGAGAGAAACGATTAAAGTGGTATGGTCATATATAACGAAGACCTTTTAGTGCACCGGTTAGGAATAGTGATAATATTATAGTTAATAGAGCAAAAAGATTTTAGAGATAAACCTAAAAGAACTTGTTCGAAGCAATTAAGAAGAACATGATTATAGTCAACTTAACAGAGGAGATAGTCCATAATAGAATGGAATGGAAGAATATGATTCATGTAGCTGACCACGAACATTTGGGATAAAGGTTTTGTTGTTGTTGTATGTTAATGTCAAACACTTGGGGGACACTTCCTGGACCCATGTACTGCACTTCTCCTATAATTTGTTATCGTTATATGTTTAGATATTCTTTTTTACTCTCATTTGTACATTAAATTATATATTTAACGGAAAAAGCCATGAAAACTTTGACTTTGATAAAATTCTGAGAAACATAGGTAAGTCTTGGTAGCCTATAAGTATATGTCTATTACAGTCACTTGTACTCCTGTTAGTGGCAGACTGGCAGTTACTGACTATTGATTTATTTAGATTGTTTTCAGTTTGGGTTACGATAAACTATGAAACCACAGCTTCAACTTAAAATTTCTTTTGGTTTTACTTAATGCAGGCCTTGCATTTTTCTATAGAAGTGTTCTCAATTTTAATGCTTCATGTGGATGGATGTTGGTAGTTTTAGTTTGTTGACTTGAAGTATTTCTTTTTCCTTGAACAGCTTAAGTCGTATACGAACGCCAGTTAAAGGGTATCTTTGTAGACATCATCAGGTGAGAATCCCATTTCTCTTGCATAAGTAAATGAATCAAAAAGTTAACATCTCCATTTCATTATACTTCTTTTTGATCAGTTGATTTCATGCTTCACTTATAGTGTTTTGATTATGACAACTTTCTGGAAATTAATTCAAAAAGGCCGTTGTGGCACTGCCCTTGTTGCAATCAGCCTAGTAGCTTCATAGACCTACGAATTGACCAAAATATGGTGAAGGTGAATATTTAAATCATCACTTTATTATAGTAAAAATTTTATATCTCGGTGTTTAGCTTTTCTTCTCTGTTTCCTGTCCACCCAGATACTGAAGGACATGACAGTGGATACTACTTATGTAGTTATTTCTGCTGATGGATTGTGGAAGGCTGTTCTTGATCATGATCAGAGCGCAGTTAGCTTGCCCAATGCAACACTTGTAGAGCAGACAGATCAGGGTAAAGGGGATGAGTCTAATGGTAAACTACAGAATGCAGTGGATCTAACTATGGAGGAAGATGAAGGGGGTAATAACAGCGAAGCATATGAAATTGGGTACAGAAAATCTTTAAAAAAGTTTCAGCCTACCCCTGTTCCTCAATCTTCATCTGTCTCACTTGGATCATCAGTAATTGCTCCAACATTAGATAACCGAAGAGTTGGAACATTAGAATCTCTTATCCCTACTTGTATCCTCAATCCTGCTAGCTTCAATATCGCCTGTAATTTACCTCCTGTCTCTTATCAAGCAAACCCTTCTACCATTCAAGCACTTCCTACTAGTGCGGAAGCTTCTATTTCATCAGAATGGGTTCATTCATATCTAACGAATTCTGATTCGTGTACAAGTAGAGGTTTCCCCACTCTATCTCATCAAACAGTTTCTCCTCTAGCGAATATGGCAGGTGGTGGGATTGATATGCAACAGATCTCTAGTCCTTTGGACATAAATCCACCAGTCCAGCAATTTCATCCCATGATACAGGTAATACTAATTTTTATATAGAAAAATGGTACCTGAGATAATAATTTGATGTTTGTATTGTTTCTATTGTTTATAGCCTAATATTATAATTTGAATGCATTGCTGATCACAGTCTAGGCTTCTTTAAGTGACAACGTACAGATTCGGTCCTTTAGTCTCTATTTTTCACATGTAACTTGAAAGTTTGTTGACGTGTAATATCAACATATTTCTGCTTGCCTAATCCGCTTAATTCACAACATTTGTATTAGTTCTGTACTCACTTCTGATTTATTTGGTCGTGCTTCCTTTCCAAACGATTGCCTAATCTGCTTAGTTCACAAAATGCGTATTTTTTCCCCACTCATTTTCTATCTCAAGGGACCTAACCGAATAGTTTCGTGATCCATATGCCTTCTTAGTTTTGGTTTGGTTTTGCTAATTCATAACTGCCTGCTTGAAATTCTTTGTTTTCAATCAATGGACATGGACTCTTTCACTGGAATCCTCTTTGCTACCTAATTGTCCTCCCCTTCACAAATTAGTGAACCATCCATCGTTGCATGGAACCCGGTTCATTTTAGTTCACAGGATGGGTATAGAGAGTGGTATGCCACTCGTTAGAATTTTTTGGGGTGTTTTTTTTTTTTTTTTTTTTTTTTTTTTTAAATATAGAAATAAGAGGTTTTGCAAAGTCAAATTTTAGAAATATGCTACTTGATATCACTAGTGGTTAAAGAAAACCTTGAGAATCATTGCAATTAAGGTATACATACTTTATGTGCTTAATTTCTCATGTTTTTTTGTTGTTTATTCTTTTTAACAAAGATATATTCTTTAAAATTTAACTGGTTTGAATTCTAAATTGGGTCGCTGGATGGAGTTGGTGAATCTGGTCGTGTTCCACATGTATCTGGGACGATTGAACCCAAGTTGTGGTTCCCTATAGCATCCCACCTTCCCGACTTCTGTGGAACCATCTTATGTGTTTACCTTCATTCTGTTTCTAATGAGGCTGTATTATTTGAGATCCTCCAGAACTTGTTAATCTCTTATTTACCTTACAAATCTACAGGAATCATTAGTACTCTCCTCATTTCATTGTACCCTTTACTTAAGAAGGCCCCAATTTGTGTTTTGTTTTGATACTGTGGGTTGTGTTGAAGCTAAGAGGAAGTGAAGAAGGCTCGAGAATATTTGGTAATAATTGAACAGATAGCACATGCTTTGTTCAAACAGATTAGAAGTTGCATATTTCAGCTGAATAGGGTGATAGATATATAGCTATTTAACCATGATGATATCATAAAACTTCCCCATGGCGACCTCTATAAGAGGAAGAACGGTCCATCCCCGTGCAGTTTTTTTAATGCTGTTAATGGTAGACATTGGCCATCTTGCAGTGTGTATTCTGGTCTAACTACTCATACCTGGCGCAACCTGCTGTACTTTTTCTTTCATTAAAAATATTCATCTGCATTGATTGGCTTAATACTTTTTCTATTTTGTGATTTTAAGCTCATTTAGTGATTCTCGATGTGCTACTGCAACTGATATTGACAAGACCCAATTGGAAGCATTTTATTCTCTTATAAAGTAGCCGTTGGCTCCACAATCAGATTTTTTTTCTAACTAGCCCGGGATAAATTTTTTGGATTGTTTTTATATGAATTTCTCTCTTGCTAAATTTTTTGTTTATAATTATTCTCTGTGCAGATTCAGGACCAAGGTTGCCAGCTTCCTTTCATATCAACATTACAGCAGATTCAGGGCCAAGGTTGCCAGTTTTCTTCCATATCAGCATCACAGCGGTCAACCGAACTTTCAACATCACCACAAATCAGAGCGTTGTCACCCGTAGCCCTACAGAATATAAGTGTCTGTAACACCCCTCAACATCCCGTTAACATTAGAGGATGTACAAGTAGTACACACTCCCCTACTCAGAATGTTGCTGGCATTCCTTTACCCAACTTTGCAAATCCCTACATTCGAGTTTTAGCTTCTGAAATAGTTGCAGGGAATGGTAGATTTCCATCAGTTCAACCTCATCCTTCAACAGTGCAAAATAACTGGCAGCCAATGGGAAGGATGAGGGGTAGTCTGAGTGGTAATGAATATTCTGCTGCAATTAACCGATATGTACTTAATCCGTCCCTAAACTCTGTTGCTACATCTGAAGAGTCTCTAGCATCCAATAATTCTAACACTCCAAATTTGCATAGTTCCTCGGTCTGGCTTCCTCCCTGGAGCAATCTCGGATCTGGTAATTAGATATGAACTTGAAAACTCGCCTTTTCTGTGACTCACTGATTCGATATTTCCACAAGCTTAAACAGATAGAAGGCAGATGTACAGAGTTTTTGCCAATTTTTTCTTAGGTGCGTGGATGGTTTACAAAGATAGCTGTACAGTTTACCTGTTTTTGCAATTGTTCTACTGAATTGTTGCATCTATCTTCAAGAGATGTTTTTTTTGTACCCTGGGCTTTTGTGGCTTAGAATGTGGGTCTTTTACCTACATACCTTCAATATCTACTCTATTTGCAGATTTACTCATCAAATCTCTATTTGTTTGTTTACCCTTCATTTTGTAAAATTTATTTAATACATTTCTCCCATTTTCTATTGGGGAATATTTTTGTATATACCTAGATTTTCTTGTTGAAATGCTTAATGTTTTGAAAATATGACTAATTTGTCCCTAGTTGGGTGACAGAGGAGAGGACGAGGGCGGAAAAAGTCATTTTCAGTTTCCCGCTGTTTGAAGCTTGATGTTGAGAAGTGAGAGAACGCAAATAGGTCTTCTGCATATGAGATAGATTGGGGGGGTATATGGTCAAAATACAGGGAAATCAATGTTTACTATGCTCTGGACGGTAAATTTTGTCAAATATACGTATATATTGCAGCAGAACTAAAGAGTTTTATCCGTTTTGTTTTGGGTGTCTATATGTATAAGTTACAGACCAAAGCTCTATTTTGTCTTTGTACATAATTCCACAACATGCAAATTTAAAAGGGGAATATGTATATATGCTTTAGAAGCGAGAAAGGAACTGGATCTGCTTGAGAAGAGGACTGAGAGCCTCCATGAGCTTTTCACAAGGATGGTTGTGTACTCCCTCGTACGTTGTCACCACGATGCTCGTGTCTTTGGATAGGCGTTGGACCTGCTTCTTCACGTTGCACGTGTGATGTGTGCACCTGTAGTAGCTTCTTCATGTACACACAAGTAAAAGTATAAGCAAATTATATCTGTCCAGTTTTTCTATATATCTATATGAGCTTGGAAGGGAGAGTATGAAAACATAAATGCTTTTGAAATGTATCAGATTGGAAATTGTTGAAATGAAATACCATTAAAGGACCATATTTAGGCTGAAGACAGTGATATACCATATATGTATTCACTATTCCATGCCTTCTACATTCCCAGTATTTATACCTGTCATGTGAGTTGCAAATGACATTGATGTGCTCTAGATATAGATTACTTGTTATTTTATTGTGTAACATAGAGTTCTCCTATTCTCCTATAGGTTTTCAAATACGCCCTTGTGGATTTATGAGCAGTTAACCCTAGAAATTATTAGTGTGAAACCTTCTTGAATGTATTGGATTGAGAATTGCTAAAATGGACTGTTGTTTAAGGGGCTTTACGGTTGGTTTCCTAGAAAGCTCAAAAAGAGGAAGCCTAACCAACAAAAAAAAAAAAAAAAAAAAGAAAAAAAAAAAAAAACATAACAAAAAAAAAAAAAAAAAAAAAAAAGGAAAAGCACCCCAATGTTTTCAAGTGATTTCCTACCAAAAAGTCTAGAATTAGGTTTCCTAAAACCATGGTCAAATCAGTCAATGAGAGGGTGTCATATCACCCTCCTTTGTTTCAAAGTGATAACCAAACAAAGAACAGCAAAATATTATAGAAAAATGTTTTCTATAATACATTTTCTTTTTTGTGTCCAACCAAAGGACCTTAAGTATCAGGCATAAATTGAATAAAATGATGCATGTACTCGATATTATGCATTTCTTCTATTAGATGTGATATCAAGGGCCATTTTCCCTTGAGTGCACTTGTACTCTAACAGTAAATACTTCATATAATTTTGCTCGCTATGTTCATAGTTACAATTCCATGTCAATAATATTGACATGTTGATGTTTGATATGATACTATGCAAAGTATTTAGGACATATGTGGTTGACCAAAACTCAAATAACCTCTTACGTACTCGAGGTTTGCAGTAAAGATAACGTGAGCATCATAGTTTTTGCGTATTAATACATGAAGGTATACATATACTCAAAAGTAAATTGAAAGCATGGAATTCAATGGACATACGTGTTTTTCTCTAAATAAATCTTATCACTAAATATAGAGTCAAAGAGGTCGTGACTTCAAGAGTTAAAATCATATATTTTTCCAGTCAACCATTTCTGTGGATAAGATAATAAATTGTGTAATGGTTTCAATACAAGCTATTGGAAACATGGCGGGCTGAATCGAATTTCTTTCTGTGCTTTCTGTCACAATCGAAATTTCTAAGAACTTCCATCTATACTATTTCCGTATTTAAAGATGCATCACGTACAAATTTAACTTCGAGTCTGTGTGGTGTAAAGTCTGCAATGCTAGTGCAGACGGCGTGAATGAAGGCAATTTCTTTTTTTTTTTTCCTTTTCCCGTCCTCACAACGAAGGCTGAACTGTTTTCCATCTATAAAAATCAACTTTGTTTTTTTTTCTACCAGTGCCTACTCCTGCCTATACGTCACTTACTAATTAATTAATAAAGGAAAAGGAAAGAAAAGCACGGCTTCCCGTGCCTCAAACTTTATCCCATATATATTGACCTCACACACAAATTATTCTCAGCTGCTTGATAATTACATGTGAAAAGAGAGCTAGAGAAATTTTAGATTGGTTGATGGTTACACAAGAAAAGGTACTAGGTAATTTAGTCAAAATACCAGGAGTTAAAAAGAAAGAAAGAAAGAAAGGTATGTGTATATGTATGTCCTCTTGTGTGGTTGAACTATAAATTTCTAATTACACCTGCCACCATGGGCGTGCATGTCCACACAAAAAATACCCTTTTTAGTTGCTTAGGTTAACATGCATGCAAACAGAAAATGACTTAGGTTGTCCACTTTCAAGCTGTCCTTAGCCAAAGTGCTACCTAACCTCTGGAGGGTAATTCATTCATTTAATCTTCTAAAAAACAAGCTTATTGTGGTATAACTTGGTAATTGGGTTCTCTCTACTGCAAATGCACAACAGAAAATCTAATTTTATTTTTTGGGTAAATATTGACCTCTAAGACTTAAAAGCATAATAATATAAACATTTATATAGTACTAGGCATAATTGTCATGCCGCCTATAGTTGTTTACGTTTAATTTCGAAAACTGAAATGGAAGGTTAATACTTTTAAAACTATAGCGGTATTTCTGTTAATTTTGCAAATCTTAGTGGATTTTTCACTAATTTATACATTTATTTTTTCAATCAAATCCATTGGAAGATTAAGGGAAAACGTAATTCCCTTAGAATATGCAAATATAGTTATAATTGGTGGGTTTCTCTCCAAATCCCATAACAACAATGCAAGTGTTGACAAGGGAATATGGAAAGACTGATCTTATTAGGGGCTGTTTGGTTGTATGTTTTTACCATGTAAAAGGATGTAAAGTGTAAAAAAATGGGTCCCAATATCAGCTTTCATCACTTTCAATTATTTGTTTGTAGTTGTGAAAATAGTATAAAGTGATTTCATATGCTGATGTGGCTTGTAAAGTGATTTCATGAAAAAAAGACATGATTTTAGGAGAAAACTAACATTGAAGTTAGGAAAAAATAATAAAAAATAATTCCAACCAATATGAACATTTGAGTAGGGACCACTTTTTACACTTTCCAAATAAACAATTAAAGTTTTATTTTGCAAACCAAACAAGTGTTTTATGATTCCAATGGAATAAAAAACAAACAAAGAAAAGTATAAAAGTGAAATTGATGAGGTGGACAACAACTTTCCAAGTTGTGTTATAAATACACAACTTTACCAACAACAACCAAACAACCCCTTAGACAATGCAAATGATGGAAATATAAAGGTCTAATACCTAGGAAGATAAAATGATGCGTTAACCGTTAGCTTCTTGAACTTCTCTTTGGAGGCTATAAAAGGGATATGCGTAGGTGTTGAGGGGGCGTCGCCATTCTTTGAGCTCTTGAATGTGGGTCTATTTGGGCTCTTCGAGTGGTGTGAGGAAGGTTTAAAAATTTGTATCTTGTAAAACTTGTACTAGTTTGTGAAGCATAATCAAAGTGGAGGTAGGCATGTTGTCCCGAACCATGAAAAATTTTCTTTGTGTTATGTTAGTGTTTGTATGCTCCAAAATCCCCAACAATATTTGGGACAATCATGAATATCAGAGGTATAGTAGATGATTATGATTTATAAATTTTTTTCTCTACATTAATCAAATAAGAAATGGAGAGGATAAAAAAATCTTTAAGTTATGTACGTGATTGAAACAAAATGGCGATTAACAATTTTAACCTTTTATTTTTTGGAATTATCACTTCATTAATTAATTAAAGAAATTAGATTTTAGGAAATTTACTATTTTCTCAATGTTTTGTTCGGTAGGGAGTATTTTTTAATTAAGTTTAGCAGTTGTAAATATAAATTACTAGTTATTGGCATATTTATGTAGGAGTGGTGCGTACACAGATTATTGTTCAGAGGCATGTTATATTTTCATGAACAACTGAATGTGCCGTTTATTTAATATTATAAATATGCCACCATGGGTGACCGAAATAGTTCGAAGGTTCAAATATGACTCTTACGGTCTTGGGACCAATTTCAGGTTGGATTATCACATACATACATACGCACACGCATATATAAGACCAATAAAACCTAAAACCATAAGCAATATAAGACACACACACACACACACACACACATATATATATATATATATATTAATCCCCTCCACTCATTTAAATGGTTGCATATCCACATGCACTACTCAACCCATGTGAATGTGATCCCCCATTTAAATGAGTGGAGCGATTATGTCACCTCACTACCAAGCACAATTTTTTATGCTTGGTACCAAGCATATCCATTTCTTTCTTTCTCTCTCTCTATATATATATATATGTGCGCGCGCGTGTGCAGTCTCTCTCTCTCTCTAAATGAAATTAAGTTATTTGGGGTACCTAATGTACAATAAGCAATATACGACCAATAAAACCTAAAACCATGAGGAGAGTAAAATTATTGGGATAAAGTACACATAACCATTACTCATATTTAAAGTTGCTTCAAATTTTCAAATGATTTTGGTTCAACCTACATATCGTAGTAATCGATAGTAACCATTGGCTGATAAACATACAGTCTTTTTCGTAAGTAAATACGGTATATAAAATTGAATTCCCGTGGCAATCTCAAGAGTCAAATTTCCCCTTTAGCGACATGCCCGAGCTTAAATTGTTCCATGTATTGTTTTTGCTAACCACTGCATAGTTAAGAAAAAGAGAGGTGGGGGAAGGTGTGGGTTCATATATTTAAGATAATTTTAAAAACCTTAAAAATGTTGGATTCAAATTATCTCCATTATAAAAATATAGTAAAAAGACCACTGTTTTATTAAAAAATCATAGATTTAATGGATAGTTATAATTTGTCTTTGAATACAAATTAGGAATGAGTGTAATTTATTAGGGTATGATGAATACTAGGTTTGAAGTAAACCATAATTATCCACTAGATAATCGACAGTCATGACAAAAAGCAATAGTCCCTTGTTAAAGGAATGACTGCGATTGCACTAAATCTCCAAAGTTGTTGTGATAGTTTAGGGTTATTATTTTTATATTCTACAAGACCATAACGCCATTTTTATAAGCCAAAACTTAGACTCACCTAGTGGTGTTAATTTTTAGAAAATCCACTTTAAATTAAAATTGTGATTGGTGGCATTTGAACCAGGAATG